ATATGCCATTTTATGTCATTTTAAGTTTTTTTTTCCCAACATTCTCCTTTCAAAACTCTGCTCAATTTCCTTCTCAAACTTACTGTGTTCATCCCATGTTCTAGTTTGTCGGACTCAATTGTTTGAGTTCTCAAATATTGAGTCCTAGCTTGTTTTATCTTGGAAAACCTAGACTACAATGCTCCTAGCACCTTTAGGATGTAGCAAAATCAAGTTTTAAGGATAGTATGAGTATCACACAACTCAAACTAACAACCTAGCCAAAAATCCTTTCGTCTTAACTTGTTATTGTTATTTCACCAGAAATTTATTTTTCGTAGTAATATTTAGTTTTTCGACGTGCTAGTTGCAAGTTAGGGTTTATGTAACAATATGGGCCTCAGATACAAGTTGTTCACTTTTACTTACAATATATACTAAAAAAAAAATGAAATACACTAAAATAAATATGTATCAAAATATAATGAATCTATTAAAAATGCACATGTATCATAGTCTACCTTATAAGGTGAGGCTGACCCAAGATGCACCATATAATTTGGAGACGTTATGCTGTGGAATCGTGCCCAGCGTGCATCATGGGCACGGTAACGGTGCCGTAGGCACCGTTATCTTCCTTTTTTTTTTTTTTTTTTTTTAAAAAAAATTTATTTTCAGACCGCTTCATTATAGGAGCATATATTCACAGCTTTGTGTTCATAATTTCATAACTGTACATTCATAATTTCATAACTGTACATTCATAATTCCGTAATTGTACATTCATAATCAATAACTGTAAATTCATAATTTTCGAAGCTCTATGTTCATAATTGTAAGTTCATAATGTCAGAGTTCTATGTTCATAATTTTATAACTGTACATTCATAATTCCATAACTGTACATTCATAATTCCATACTATATATTCATAATTCCATACCGAACATTCATAATTTTCGAAGCTCTATGTTCATAATTGTAAGTTCATAATTCCATAAATGTACATTCATAATTCTATAACTGTACATTCATAATGTCATAACTGTATATTCATAATTTCATAACGAATATGCCGTTAACGCCGTTAACGGCGTTTCGAACAATTTTTTTTTTTTTTTAGTTAAAACGGCGTTGTTTTCAGTGAAAACGACGCCGTTTTAGCGCCGTGCGCACCTTGCAAGGTGCGCACGTGCGCATAGCATAATTTGCCATATAATTTGCCAAGTGGTCACTAATTGGACTTAGACTAAAATTCAACTTGATTAATTTCATCTTACAATGTGCAATTACCCAAAAAGGAAAAAATCAAGAAAACGAGCTCAAATTAAACATCATTATATTTGCTTTCATTGCTTATAGTTGGTGAAATGTAACATGAAGGTTTGATCTACCAGAACCACCTAAAATGTGATGCAAATAATTTAGAAAGGATTTCTTAGCTTATTCATTATTGGTTTTCAAAGATTAGAATTTCATAATAATAATATCTTAATAACTATAGTTATACACCAATTAATTGCCTAATGTTTGATTATGACTCCATTAAAAGTTGAAATTATGGTTAACATAACCCATCTTAAATTAACACCAATTTTTCTCATGAACATAATGTCAGTTTCTGCAACTTTTTGAACCTTTTTCATTATTAAATAAAAAATATCCTTTGAAACTATTATTGCTTTGTAAGCTTTACTTTATAATCTTTTAATGATTATATTTGCAGACCTTCAACTACGTCTTCTGATCGCCAAAACTCACTTTTACTTTACGGTGAAATGAGTACGGTATGTTGGTATATTGATACACTACCAAAATTGTTTTATAAACTACTCTATCTATATATTTTATTCTTTTTTCTAGCTACATGAAAGTTTACAATAGTGTACACATCAATCAATTTCCCATACTGTTTTTTTTTCTTTTTAAAATTCAATTTTTATTGGTATAAAAATTTCAACCATACAATTACGAGTACAATTTATAAATATAATTTGTGTTTTATACATGTGTGGATATAACTACCAAATCACAATGTTGAAAAAATCAGACGCTAGGCGCTAGGTACTCCTAGGTCGAGGCGATTTCAGCCCTAGGCGTCTTTTAGTTGGTTGACAAACTAAATGACCAACTAAGCGTCGACTCGATCGAGTTGAGTGCCTAACTCAACCGTGTCGGGCGCCTAACTCGGCCGAGTTGCCATTCAACTTGACTGAGTGATTTTTTTTACATGCTAGACTATTCTTCTTCTATATTTTTTCAGTCATGTACTCAACTAACCATCTAACATATGCAGTTGACTAGCAATTTAACAACTCCTAACGCTAAGTGAGAAAAGTGGAGACGATATACTCGAATTAGTTGGCCGCTTAGACGCTCTAGGCACTAGGGGCCCTGGCGCCCAACTAGCGCCTATCCCCTTCTACAACATTGATCACAATACTCCTAATTTGTTGATGCGAGGCTTGAAATTGAAACCTGCCCAATGCCGCCCTTCTATGTGATAGATACCGATAGCTATGTAATAAATTCAAGAATAAGTGAATATTATGTAATATTTAAAAATTATACAATTATATTGTCGAGTTTTACATAAATTAAATTGATTGAATCCCTATGATATGATATGCGCAATGAACATTAACTCCGATGGTGGAGTATTAACTCTTTTGTCTTCAACAATTTGAGAATGTATAGAACAGATAGTACCTTGTAATAGAGTTAATAGTATTTAAAATAATAATAATAATAATAAACACATAGAAATTCAGAAACTATACACTTATATTATCAAGTGATAATATACAGATTAATCAAATCCCTATGATATATAACATAAATTTGAGTTCCACATCATATATATTTGAAAATAACCAAAAAAATAAAAACATTTCACAATGTGTTTTAAAGTCATTAATTTCTCACTTTAATATTATATTTTATACACAAACAATGATTCCAAGGAAACAAAATTATAGTGAATATCAATAATTTTACATATAATACAGTGGGTGCAACTCACATGCCACCTCAAAATACACCTAATTATTGCTCGAAAGCTAATCAAAGTATAATTTATGACATTAAAAAAGCAATTAATTAATTTTCCAACCTAAGTTGGGTTAACAAAATTAGGAATGATAGGTAAACATCATGCCAACAAGCACATATACAAGAAATCATGCATATATTAATGCAGTCGTCCCCTTAGATTATGGAATGCCCATGTGATAACCCGTACACCCAATTTTTTTTGTCCCTTGCTAATATAATTTCCCTATTATTGTATTTTGTTAATTAAATAATAATGAATTTTCTACAACATATTTAATTTCCCTCCTTAGCTTGTGAACCCTACATACCCTCGCACGTGTGTTCCCAATCCATTGTCATTCTAAAGAAAAACAGGTTCACCTCAAGCCAACTCATCCTACTAAATACCCCTAACATGCATGCCTCATCCCTTTATTTACAACTTGTATGTGCAAGCTAAGTTTAATTATACATATATACAATCTTCTCACCAATATACTATAATTTATATCATCTACTCACCTATTCTTTTCACTTTTTTTTTTTTTAATAACAAACAATACATATAACGATATAATTGTAAATTTTTGTATTAGATTTCAATTTCAATTAAAGACAACTATTTACAATAGCATTTTAATATAGTAATAATAGAAAATAATGAGAACTAATTGTATTATTTGTGAAGTAGTGTTTTGCTATATTATCATTACAATTTACAATAGTATAGTTTCGAATTCCTTTCACTAGTGTTATTTGTGTACTTGTAGCTCGTGATGATAGGTGATCAATTGAGTTCTTTTACATGTACTCACAAATCTTACTGTCTCAAATTTACTTCATGATGTGACGGGCTCTGATGAGTTATTTTCTTTATGTGGGCCCTCTTAAAGTGTCTACATCAATATTTTAAGTGTGAGAGTAAAGCTTACCCGAAGGAGAGAATAGCCGTAGGCCGTATGCAGAAGAGAGAGAATCTGTCGGTATTTAGAGTGTATTTAGAGTGTAGAGGGACAAAATTGAGAGTAGAGAATGAGAGTACATGTAGTATTTTCCTGATCAATTCGCCATTAAAATAATGCATTATTCCTCTAGCAACATCCATTCATTCTATATGTCAAGTCTCGTCTCTAGCTAGGTAATGGTTCATTTGGGTTTGTCCGAGTACGTTCAATAAAATTATACCCTATATATATATAGATGCATTTGAAGGTGCCAATCTCATTGTTACAAAAGGTACGTGGAATCACCCACCTCATTTTGAGAGGTTTATCCTATGCTATAATCAACTGAACTATCCATGCAAGCGTCAAGTATTATACCTAATACAATAATGTATTGTATCATATATTATTTGTAATAGATTCTAATAGTACATAGTCCAATAATTTATCATTATTCTAGGTATTATTGAAATGTCTTCTAATATAGTAATATTAGTATCTAGACCCTTACAATACATGATTGTAAGGAATATTATTAATTAAATGATTGTACTATACATGATTGTATCATATATTAAAAGTCATTTATTACAAATAATATTTGATACAATACACGATTATATTAGATATCATTTACCTCGATATTAATCAACACTTGCTATAAAAAGTTCCAAATATTTTTACATTCTAGGTTATTTTATACGAGACGTCTCACGGATCCTTATTTGTGAAACAGAGCCTAAAATAAGTATTACATTTTTATCTTGACCCGTTGCAATAATTAATGGTTAGAAATCAATTAATGATTACACACTGACCAATCTGATTGCTGAATTGTAGACATCTCGATTGATTGAATAGTTGGTATGGGGATTTGAATGAACTATACATTTTTGAAATACATATACTCACTTACTCGGCGCGCACACACGCACGAACGCTTGAGTGCGCACGTACACACCATTCCTATTTATACATCGCCGTCTACCTATACACTCTGTCATTCTTTCCTCTTCCTCTTTCTCCTTCTCTCTCGCTGACAAAAATGGAGTCTCCGACAGAGCTAGACCTCGACAACCTTCGGGCCATCAAAGTACTGGGCAAAGGTGCCATGGGAACTGTCTTCCTCGCCCATCATCTTTCAACTGACCCCTCCGCTCTCTCCCCTTTCGCCCTCAAGGTGGTCGACAAGTCCCTCTCCTTCGCCGCCGATGCCGACCGCCGTGCCCGCTGGGAAATCTCCGTCCTCTCCCGCTTCCGCCTCCACGATCCGCTCCACCCCTTCCTCCCCTCCCTCCTCGGCTCCTCCGAGAACGCCGACATTCTCTGCTGGGCGGTGCCGTACTGCCCCGGCGGCGACCTCAACGTCCTCCGCCACCGTCAGAACGACAGCGTCTTCTCCCCCTCCGTCATCCGCTTCTACCTCGCCGAAATCATCCTCGCCCTCCAGCATCTCCACGGGCTGGGCATTGTTTATCGTGATTTGAAGCCGGAAAATATCCTCATTCAGCAGTCCGGCCACGTCACGCTAACGGATTTCGATCTTTCTCGAAGCTTGACTCCGAAAAAGCTCGACCCGGACCCCCTCCATGTCGCCTGCTCGGAGCCTGAAACGGATTCCGATCTTTCTAGAACCTTCACCCGCTTCGTTTGTCCTAGAAAGAAGAAGAACGTTAATAACCAGAAAGGATTAAGGAAAGCAAAGAGCGCACGCGTTTCTCCGGTGAGCAGAAGGAACCCGGGATCATTCTACGAGCGCTCCAATTCCTTTGTCGGAACAGAGGAATACGTCGCGCCGGAAGTTGTGAGAGGAGACGGCCACGAATTCTCCGTCGACTGGTGGGCTCTCGGAGTGCTCTGCTACGAAATGCTGTACGGAAAGACGCCGTTCCGGGGAAAGAACAGAAAGGATACGTTCAAGAGAATCTTGATGATGCAGCCGGAGTTCATGGGAAAGCAGCCAAACGCCTTAACGGACTTGATCGGAAAGTTGCTGGAGAAGGACCCCACGCGCCGGCTGGGTTACCGGAGAGGCGCGTCAGAGATCAAGGAGCACGAGTTCTTCCGTGGGCTGAGGTGGGATTTGCTGACGGAAGTTGTACGGCCGCCGTTTCTGCCGTCGAAAGACGAGACGGAGCTGACGGAGGAAGTGAAGAAAGGCGGGATTGACATCCGGGATTACTTCGACAAATTGAAGGCTCCGTCGTCACCGTTATGGTCGCCGTCACTGGATGAGCAAAGACATAACGTTTCGCTAACGGAGTTCTAACTCACGTGTAAAGAGTGTTGGATCATTAATGTTATTTTCTATTTTTATTTTTTAAAAAAGTAGATTAATGTAAATAAAATAATTGTAGGACTTGATAAACGGCGTTATTTAAGAATTGCTGTTAGCGATTATAGAAACATAATGATTAAACAGTCATAATGTATTTTAACTGTTTTTAATTAGATTAATTAATGAAATATGGGTGTACACACGCGCCTGTGGTGGCGCGTGATAAACAATCGGCTCAGTGCGGGAGGAATAAAGTTGTTTAGAGTGAAGGCTAAAAATGAGATTTTGGTTCTCTTGATATTTACGGTTTTGGACAAAAAAATGATTAAATGAATGTATCAAATTATAATTATGTTTATTTTTGAAGAAAAGAATTTTGCTTTTCCTTAAATCTTGCTTGTAATTCTAGTGACATGAATAGTGAAATTCCTTTGATAATTGATTAAGTAACCAACATTTTCTTCCTTCATTTCCTTTGGTGGGAAGCAAATGACCAATATAATCTAAACCACTTCAATTCATAGTCATAAAATAATATATGAAGGATGATCTTGCGGGATAACTCAAGTAATGATCGACTAATCAACGTGTAGTCTTATCATTGAAGAATTTTAACCAAATCTATTATGGAAAACTCTTATATGTAATAACCTCAATAAATATTTTGCAAAATATTAAAATAGATCTTTTACAATATGATTTTTTTTTTTTTTTCATGTAGTGTTTTTCAAAACATTATATGAAATGCATATAATTGCAATCATAGAGATAATAATAAAATAGGCTGTGATTGATCATAAGACTTAATTAAAGGTATTTTTGCAAGATATTCAAGAAGAGTAATTAAAAGAGATAGATCCTTTTATTTTTTAGACTAGTTTTTGGGATAAACTCTTCATTGAGTTTGAATACCTAACATTATTGTTCTTACCCCAAAAGACTGAATCTCCAACTCTAAGGGGGCCCCACACTCCGACCCGACAGAGCATGTGCCTAACATTATTGTTCTAATAAAATATATGATGGTTTTGTTCTTTTGTTGAAGTGTTTTATAGGAGCGCATTAGGTGCAAACTGACATTAGGTGTGAATTTGTGAACATGAAACTTGAAAGTGCACCACTTAAACTACAAAATTAAAGCACATCCTATATGATATGTAAAAATTGAAGCACATACAAAAACTCTAAAAAAAATTCATATAGACCCTGTTTGGTAAAATGGTTGTTAGCTGATAGCTGTTTACTGTTAGCTGATTGTGTTAATTATAGGGTATAAATAGTTGATAACATTAGCTGATTGTAGAAAAGTGTTTGGTAAATTAGCTGTTAGCTGATAGTTGTTTGGTATAATTTCTTTTCTCAAAGAGCTAATTGAAAAAGTTGCTTGGAGTAGCTTTTTGAATTTTAGCCTTTTGGAGTTGCAAAAAGTTAATTAACCAAACATTTATATTGATATTTTAACTAAATCAAACAATTAATAGTAGTCAAATAAGCCAAAATTGGCCTATAGGCCAATTTTTTACCAAACAGGGCCATAACCTAAATATGCACAATATGATATTTTAAAATGCACTTTATAATTCTAAAAGTGAACATAAAAGAGTGCAAGTTACAAACTCTACTAATTAAAATTGTATTACTATAATTTCTAAAGTTTATTTTTTCCTTTTTAAGTTATACTTTTACCTATCACACAGTGCACTTTTATAGTTTGTGCACGTGCCACGTGCACTTTTGTGAGTTCGCACTTAAGTACATATTCTCATATAATTTTTTTTCAATTCATGTCTTTTATATATTGATGTTTAGTTAATTGATAACCCGTGTAACTTTTAATCAGTCTTAATTCGACCCAATACAATCATAAATAATAAATTAAATTTGCATACTCATCTTCCAATTCCTATGAATTCTTATAATTTGTTTGAGATGATGGTGAAAGCGACTTGAATTGGAATTGTAGTGAACGTGATATGAGCTAAAATCACCGTATTCCAAAAATCTATAGAGAATGCGACACAAATTAAAGCAAGATAGGGTGAATATGCTTTGAAGATTTGAGGAATGTGATTTGAAAGGAGGATGAATGTGGTCCGCTGGTATATATCGATGCAAATATATATATGCATGCTACACCCACTGCTTTCATTTTGGGGAATCTGTCATTCTTTTTTGTGCTGTAAACGATAAAGATGATGCAGTGAATGACTGCAGATCTAGAACAAGCTAACATAAGCTGTGAAAAGAGAATAAGTAAACTGAAAGATGGGATGGAGGGCCTAACAGTTAGGAAGATACTGTTTAATTTCATACCAAAAGCAGTTGTCTTGTCTTCCTCTTATCTGTTGCACAAAATCATATGATGATGGAAATAGTATAGCTAAGAACATCCGCAATAGTATATAATTCTTGTCGGGTTTTTTGCCAAGTGAAAGATAGGGGGAAGGCAAAAAAAAAAAAAACATTAAAACGTGCCTTGATTAGGTGCATCTCCGGCCCTCTTTCCTCTCTCCTACTATTGCTTTCTTTCACATCTCTTAAAAAAATCGTTAAAATATGAATTTAGTTCTTTTTAAGTACTGCTGACGCAAAGAGTCTATTCTCTTGGGGTTTGAACTTGTAAGCTCCAATTTGGAAGAGTCACAGAAGTATCATTGAGCTACAAATGTACTGTATGAATTTAGTTCTTAAGTACACTACAAAAGTATGTAGTTCAGAAAAATAGATTTAAGTCAAGCCTTATATTTTGACACAAACTTCTATCAATAGCAATATGAGACATATCATATATTCTTGAGATATAGGGGATGTTTGGTAAATAGATGCATGTTAGCTGGTTGGGTTACTGTGTTTGACTTGTTGATAACATTAATTTATTATAGAAAGATGTTTGGTAAAGTGACTGATAGTTAATTACATGCAAAAATAATTCTCTAAAAAAGTTGATCGAAAAAGCTATTTTTGAACAATTTTTTGAATTTTAACGTTTTGGAGCAATAAATTATTACAAAAAGCTAATTAACCAAATACTTATATTAACTGTTTAACTAAGTCAAATAGCTAATATAGTCAAATAAGTCAAAATTGACTGATAAGCTAACTATGTTAATTACCAAACATGACCTTTTTTTTCCCGCCAACATAAGCCCATTTTGTTTTTACTTTATTTAATTTAATTGTCACAACAAGATTTTTATTTTTTTCTTGCTTCCTTAATCCTTACGATTACTCCCTATTGTCTTAGCTGCGCTGCAACGTAACAATGAGGTAACCATTAAGAAAGTACAAAACCATCGAGGAAAACCTAGCATATAGACCAACAACATGAGGTTGAGGGTTGTTGTAACTCTTTTCCAAACCTCTCTTCAAACTATAATTAAAGAAGACCACTATAGCAAGCAATCAAAATATTCTTCTTTTAAAAACATAATTCCATTTATTTTTTCTGAATCTAATATAAGTATTATGAAATCACTGTTTGATTATGATTTTCATTAATACACACTTTATTGTATTTCTTGGGATTTAAATGTCCAACATTGTCACTTTCTAAAAGGGGAAGAAAGAGAAGTTGGGAATGGGACTATGCAACTTGGTTGAGCTTCTTTTCAGAAGAAGGAACAATCCATTGTAGGTTCAAAGACTGAATTGAGAAGTTTTTTCCATGAATATATATATAATTGACAAAAATGAGACGATTTTGAAAGTTGGACTAGTGAAATGGGAAAAGATCAATTGGGACTTGCGTTTGGTGTCAGAAACGCATGTCCCATATGCGTTTGAATTTTTTTTTTTTCAAAATTTTGACCACAGACGCAAGTTAGACTTGCGTCCGATGTATTTGTATACATCAGACAAAAGTCCCACTTGCATCTGATGTATAACAGGAAAGGGGAGAACTATAGGGAAGACGACGAGGAAATTGGAAGTGGCTTCGCTGGTTCCAGAGGATATAGACATTGCGAACTCATATGCAATGTAGAAATCGCCGGCGCCACATAACAATTCGTTGTTTCCCATGTGACCTTATTCTGAATGGTAAACGTCAATTTCAACCCTAAGAAACATGGGAGACGGCAATTCCGCGGCGGCGGCACTAGGGGAGGTCGATGTGGTTGATGTTGGTGTCGCTGGTGACGATGAGGCGCAGGGAGGGGAGGAGATGGAGCATAGCTTCTAGAGCAGTAAAAATACATAAGACGCAAGTCTCATTTGCGTTTGTGGTCAACATTTCGAAAAAAAAAAAAATCAAACGCATTTGGAAAAAATCATATTGTTTCATGGGAAAAGCTTCCCATTTCAGTCTTTGACCCCCCATTGTACTCCTACCACTCAATTAAACAAAGAGCAAATTAACAAAATAGTCTTTTAACTATAGTAATTTTACTATTTTAATTCTCGATTTTCAGTTTTTTATTTTTAAATAATTTTATTAACTATTACATTTATACTTTATTTTATATTACATGTGAATGATTAAAATACATACAAATTTGATGGAGAACAAACCATTTCAATTTAGTAATTTATTCTTAAACAAATTTTTAGAAGGGAGAATTCCCTATGGTAACTTCTTCGCATCTCATTACCCAATAGTTGGATATATCATTGTGTGCTTCTAATAACCAACTTTAATTTAAATGGCTTTATGTAAAGGAATTTTTAATGCTAATGGAATTTGAATGCTTATCATAACTATGCAATGATTAATATTTACTTCCAAAATATGTAGTCTAAGTATGTCAATGGTGTAAGTATTTTTCCTAATATAATATATTATAATATATTGTTAGACCATGAAAATACTTACACCATGAACAACCCATTGTAGTGATTTAATTGTTAGACAATTTAGGATATTCAATTTAGCTTTAACTAAATATCTGCCTACATTGATGGTATGTAGGTTGCTAAACAAAACAATTCTCCCACAACTCCCGTATTCAGAATACACGTAAAATCAGGTATTCGGGAGAGAAGTGATAGACAAAACACTAACTTTATTCTGCAGGTTTACGATCTAGTGACAATACCAACGACTATGGCAAGGGATATTCAGATGATCCTGAAACTTCCGCTATTACGAGGTCGTGTTCCTCGTTACTTTAGTTTATGTTAGCGACATTACTGTCTAACAAATGGTACCCTTATCCAATTGAGAATTTGGCTCTCCGTCTTGATGAGGACGGGGATAGAGATAAAATTTTGGAAACAGATCGAGATGAGGACAAATGGACAAGGATGATTTTTAAATCCCCACCAGGGACGAGAGACTACTCCCCACCCTATCATGTTCCTGACTTTATATGTGCGTGTGTGTGAGCTGATTCAAGTGAAAACATTGTCTCAAATGAGGGACAAATCGCATATGTCTATTTTGGAGATGTAATGGCTGAAAAACAAGGGGGAAAGATGAAAACATGTGGTGTTATTTTCAAAATTATTACAAATTTTGAATGTGCATTGGAAAAAGGTTGTGAATGCATCCATTGACAACTAATGGTACAGTCAAGATTTATAATAATAATGCGTACAAGTTGAGTGCATTGTTAGTTATCATATATGCATTATCAAAAAAAATTCAGTCTATGGATAAAATTTATAATAATTACAAAATATTACCACATTTTTCTCATTTTGCCCTTGTTTTTCCGTCATTAGATCTCCAAAATGGACGTACATGATTTGTCTATACTTCTCACCTGGATTAATGTTTAGATATAACGTTACCGATTATTGTTATTGTTGTTGTGGTTATGAAGTCTAAAGTTTACTATGCATTTCACGCTTTTTTATATGAATATATTAATTATAAAATGTATGTAAGTATTTTTAAATTAAAAGAACACTACCAAGTAAGGACCTTGTAGTCCAATGGTATCATATTGTTCCCCTATGTGGGAGATAATATGTTCGAGCCTTAGTGGAGGCATATGAAAAAATTCTACACATTAAAAATCTCAAGTCTCCCAGTGCATATGGTTCGAATAGCATCCACTAATATTGTAAGAATACTTTTACGAGAAGGTTTTATGGAATAGGAAAAGACCCATAGAAATATTTCAAATTGAAAACGGATCAATCGACCCGGTCTACGAATCTATTCTAACTATCAACGAATCCCTAGAATTTTAGGTGGGATGGGAGTTGTAATTCTTTCTACTTCGCAAGGTATAATGACAGACCGAGAGGCTCGACTAGAAGGAATCGGTGGAGAAATTTGGTGTTATATATGGTAAGATTTTGAATATCCAAATTGGATCCAAAACTTCCTATTTGTGCAAATTTGGGAAAAAAGGGTCGGGTTGTCTAATATCGTTCTACCTCCATTAGTTGATACTTCAAGGTAACTTACTGTACGTGGGATGAAAGAACCAAAATGAATTCATGAGGGTTTCATTAATGAATCGCTTCTGAATAGTATGTTCCTGGTTTATTTAGATAATAAAGATCTGGTTTTAAGTTATGTTTCAGGAAAGATCCGACGTAGGTTTACACGGATACCGCTATAAAATACAATAAAAATTGAAGTAAGTCGTTATGATTCAACTAGAGGGCGTATAATTTATTGACTTCGCAACAAAGATTTGAAGGATTCATTTTGAAACTTTCACATGCCTTTCGCGGGAATACAATTCGAGATGCAAAATATCAAGAAACTTTTTTTCTTCGAAGAAGTAGAAGTCAAGTCTATTTTCAATTAAGGTAAGGAATGGGAAATATGAAAATAAGAGCTTCTGTTCGTCAAATTTGTGATCTACCGATTGAAAATTGATAGGATAGTGTATTCTACACTACTAAAGTTAAGAAGGAGAATAAAATGTAAATTTTCTCCTTTACCCCTCAAATTTTAAACCTTTTTCCGTCAGTTTTAACGGTCGGCGACCAAATGCGCCACTTCATTCTTAACTGAGAGACTAAAAATTGATACGATAATAACTTAGGGACTGAATCGGAACTTGGGTATAACTTATAGACCAAAGATGCAATTTTCCCTTATTTATTTATTTATCTATCTATCTATTTATTTATTTAGCTTGTCGGCATATAATTTAAGTTAATTTGGATAATACTTCGCTCGTGAGTTTTGCTTAGGTCCCATCTTTATGTTAATTTTTCCACAATCCAAACGCTGCCCTTGTCTTGCACCCCTATAATCTTGGCTTGTAGCATTTCCTTATCATAACTCTGGTCCCCTCAATTTGCAAAAGCCAAATACGCAGGGTCCTTGCTCCCCATAAAGGGCAATAAGAAACTTCTTTATGGATCTTCACGTCTCCCTTTTTTACAAACAACCAAAATGCCCATTCCTCACAATGTTTCTGTAAGAATTTGGCTGTTTTCTCTTCTTGAGTTTGGTCCTTTTCTCTTCTTTGTCTCACTTGTGTTATCTTGCTCACCACAATGACTCCATGATGACCAAATTTTCGAATTTTTCACCTGGTGAAAGCTGCTGCCACATGCTATGCTGAGTTTGTTCTCGTGATAAATCACGTCTATGGGCTTCTACTCCCAGCTTTCTGATGAGTTATCCCTTTCCTTGCTGCAACAAATTACTGTAGTACAGACTACACAGTGAACAAGTATATATATTCATACAAGCTGTAGTCATAGTCATTGGATGCAAGATTTAAGACAAAACGAATCTTGGATTATTATTTGTTTTCACCAACAGATTTCCAACAGATTTAACCCGTCAATAATCTCTTGCCTCAATCTATTTACTGTATTAAGTTTTGTTTCTTATACAAGTAATTCCCCTTAGTACACACACCAAAGACTACAATTATGTTCTTTGTAGTATTTATTCTATTGGTTTCAAATAGCTACCTTTGAAAGTAAAATACAACATTTCAGTTGATATTAGACTATGTCGCTTAACTTGCTAGTGAGGTCCTGTATTTAGTCGTTTTTTCAGGTCCATATGAGTGAGCTACTAGAGAGTGAAGCGAGGTCCTGTACTTCATGAAGCCTCCCGCAATTTGATTGATTTATTTATTCCCTTTTTACATATGAATGAAGAAAATTTACATTTAAAGGATGGTGAACACACAATTCCTTTATCCCATTACCTTTCATGATAAAGTGGCTAAACTCAAAAAAAAAAAAAAAAAAAAAAAAAAAAAACTAGCATTGAAATCAATTCTAGGCCACCTGGTATATAATCTAGGCCTACACCGAAGCTCGAACCCTAAAACCTCGCACCATAGGAGAGCAACCAGATACCCATGGACCAATGGTGAGACGGATTCACTCTCTAGTAGCTCACAATTATCTGAGTTATTAACTTTGAACTTTTGAGTTTTAAATATTAAAAAAAATATTAATTTTTCAATTTTCAAATAAGCTTCCAATGCAAAACTAAGCCATAAATCATTTAACTATGCATGTACATATATATCATCTTTAATTTCTCCTACCAAGCATAATACTTCAATAGTTTTATCGGTAATTTCAAAATCTCGAGAACAAAACCATCATAAACAAACAATTCCAAGATTCATCAAATCTATTATTATAAACATTTTAAAAAATAAAAATCCTTAGATACCATATTACAACATAATTGTATTGTACATGTGCATAGAACATGATTGCCATTACCTCGTACATACGCATAAACAACGTTGCATGCATGTGATTTCCATCTATATTTATCAAACCAATCCGTACTCCACGACAATCAATTTTGATTTCCCCAGATTCATCCATTATTACTCTCTTTTATTATTTTTCGTTTTTGTTAATAATAATATAAGATTCTATCTTCACATTTTTTTAGTACTATTGTTGAGTCCATCATTTCTTATCCCATTAGTGTCACTTTCTCGTCATCCGGAAACAAACTCTCTTAGCTTTCACCATTTTGTCTTGTATGTAAACTTGAGTTCAAAATGAAGAGGCTTCGTGAATTTTTTGCTAACTTATAATTATATTTAAATGTCTTAATTGATCTTGTAAATACTCATTTGAAATGGTAATAAATGTGTCATTACACTACCTAATAGCTGGCAAAGATAATACCAAATAATGAACCTTTAATATATAAATAATGTAATTTCAATATATTAAAAATGAACATTCCCACAATATATTGGTGAATTTTTAGCTACCTTATAATTATACTTACATGTCTTAATCGATCTTGTGACCACTCATTTGAAATGGTAACAAATGTATCATCACACTACATAATAGTTGGCAAAGGTAATACCAAATAATGAACCTTTAATATACTCCATATAAATAATGTAACTTCAATATATTAAAAATGAACATTCCCACAGTATAATTTGCCAAAAAAAAAAAAAAAGTTCTCTATAGATTAAAATAGTGTACCTATGGAATACATGAAGGGAAAATTTTGAAGATTTCATATAATATTTTTTAATACTTTTCTAAAAAAAAAATAAATAAATAAATCCTACATTTCAATTTAATGAGAAAATTGGTCACATTCTATTGGATCAAACTTATGGGATTTAAAGAATAATTAAAAAAAGATATGTGAAGGTATGAATATGAAATCAATAGACGAGAAGAGAAAAAAAAAATCGTGTTTCTATTGAGATAGTAAATCATAGATTCATAGGGAATCATGTTTCTATTGAGATGGTAAATCATAGGTCCAAAATTACGCACAAATCCTTAGGTTGTCCTTAACGATGAAAGGAGGCCTCCTGCAATTACAGTGTATTGCAAGCTTACTATTTTAGACTATATTTATCCCTGTAATACTCTATCACTTTTAAAAGTAAATCTCACTTTTACATCATCAAATTTGTAAATTCTTTATTATTTTCTCTACATATTTGCAATACTCTTTCATTTTCAAACGTGATATCACTTTCATATTACATTATTATAAACACAATAATAAAGTAATACTCGCAGGCTTGGTAAATTTGCAAGGATGAAGACAACCTTAATGGCTTAATGTGTAAAGAAACATTTCTCTTCACTCCTACCTATTAATTACTTAATCAAACTTTGTAATCATTCATTCACTCATTCTCCTCACTCCCCAACAGTTTCAATATATATTCAGTTTGTCGGCTTTATTTAAGTTAAATTTGGATGATACTTTGCTCGTGACTTTTGCTTAGGTTCAATCTCTAGCTGTTTTTTTCCACAATCCAAACGCAACCTATGATGTTGGGCTGTACCATTTCCTTATCATAAGCTCTGGTCCCATCAATTTGCAAAAGCCAAATACATAGGGTCCTTGCCCCCCATAAAAGGCAATAAGAAACTTCTTCATGGCTCTTCACATCTCCCATTTCTACAAACAACCAAAATGACCATTCATCACAATATTTTCTCTTAGGATTTGGCTGTTTTCTCTTCTTGTGTTTGGTCCTTTTCTTTTCCATCCACCCTTGGTCTCACTCCTGTTAATGCTTATCTATCTTGCTCACCACAATGCCTCCATGATGGCCATATTTCACGAATTTCTCACCTGCTGAAAGCTCCTGCCACATGCCATGCTGCGTTTGTTCTCGTGACAAATCACATTCATGGGCTTCTTCTACCCCCCTGGCTTTCAGATGAGTTATCCCTTTCCTTGCTGCAAGAAATTACAATAGTACAGACTACATGGTGAGCAAGTATAATTCACACAAGCACTTGTCATAGTCATTGGATGCAAGACTAATGGATCTCAGTACTGCACTATGCTTACTTCCCAGTAGGTCATGCTTAACCACAGAGTTCTTTAGTTATCTGGTTGTCATATCCTTCTTAAAACCAATTGGTGATAAGCAGGTGGACATTAACAATTTAACCTCATTCCTCCATGGCAAGCCACAGTACCACGGTTCAGTGGCAGGATGCTGAACTCAGCCCTTCAAGCCACAGTCGCAACAAAGATTTAGGACAAAATGAACCATTACAAGTGGCTTCTATATGGCATAAATGATATAGCCTTTTCTCTGTTAGTCATAATAAAGGCAAAATTATAATCTGTGCATAATGACATAAGTTCAGGTAAATTTTGAGTATAACTTGCCAGAGAAAGAGAAAGTAAGTTGAGCTGAATATGTGCTGCAAAGTGCAAGGCGTAAACTTAAAACAATCCATGCACTTCTTTCTCAAACCACTTCCTACTTGGAACAAAATAAAAATAACTATCTGCTAAGCATTGCTATGAGTAGTAGCACAAGTTTAACCACAAAAATTTAAAATAGCTCCTTAACATCAAGTAACCACATAATTTCAGCTTTCTAATAGAGTTCTAACTTTTAAACTCCTTAGTGACAGAAAATCACATCCTCAGTAAAATATCGAGTTACTTAAAAGGTTAGCTAATAGCTAATAACAATAACTCGGACCTTGCTAGACTCCATTCAATTTTAAAAATCATAAATTTGCAAAAGACAGACACAATAGAGAGATCACAGTGTTAAATTTGCTTTGGGCTCAGCTTATCTAATAATGACACGTAGTCTAATTCTCTAGTGGCGGTGGGACCAACCAAGACGGATTTCGTCGGAACCAACCTCAGGTGTCTCGTATATAAGATCACTGCTACTTTTAGGAGCGCTCTTTTCATACAACTATTGGAAGTATTTGAAACCAGTGTCCATCACATTATGTCTCTATATTATTCAGCTCTTCAAAGTGTTGGAAGAACATAGTTTAATACTTTTCACCTATGTTTTCCATTTTCCCATCTTGCATACTCCTACTAAGCAGAAAATTCAAAAAAAAAAAAAAAAAAAAAAAAAAAATATATATATATATATATATATATATAAGGTAACAATAGAATGATCTCATATTTCCTATATGCTACAACCTTTTATTTCCCAGACTTCTGAGAGAATTTTCTTTTCCAATATTAAACTCTTGGGTTGTTATAAAGTAAATACATTCTTTTCACATGTCATATAATTATTTATCCTACTCTATGCATCATCTCATGTCAACCCTATAGTGAAAGTGAAAATGACAAAATGGCAGACTAAAGTTCCATTCCTTTAAGTAAATTGTACTCATGCAAGATAGAAACACGGTTGCATTTTCTGAAAGAGGCATCAATGAAAAAAGGCGAGATAGAACCATCAATCCTGCTTAACTGACCAGATTCTAAAACTAAAACCAAGCCTGAATAGTATCAAAATTCGAAAGAAACATTCTTACAAACTTATGCCACATGTCGATGTACAGGTTAGAGAGAAACTTAACCATCATTAATCAAAAGAGAAGTTTTTTAATCTACCTTAAAACCATTGCTTGTTAGAGTGCATTGCAGCTGCTAGTTCCACTACATGACAGTTCAGAAAATTGAAAAGGCACTGGTTCATTGACGTTTTCTTGACCATACTTCACCATTAAACTATATTCTTTTGCCTCCAACTGGCTACTAGCATCTCGCCAAAATTTGATTATATGAAGGCTCTCCTCTTCGGTGGATCTCTGAAGAATAACTCTTGACGCATAACCCTTCTTTCTCATTTGAAGGCATATTTCTGATGGGTTATTAGCAGCAAGTGTGAGCAGATACAACCAGCCCCTCTCGGACAGAAGCTCGTTAGCAACAGGCAAAATCTTATCGATCACAGTTCGACCATTTTCCCCACCAGCCCAAGCTGCGGTGATTCCTTCACGACCAACCTCCTCTTCAGGCGTTGGAACATAAGGCGGGTTCACAACCATCACATCCACTAACCCAGCCATTCGTGCCTCCATTCCCGACGCAATATCAGTATTAACCAGCTCGACATCAACACCATGCGCTGCCGCTGTCTCACGAGTCACCATAACTGCATGAGGATTGATGTCCGTTGCAATATAATGGGCCTCGGGCACTTCATGCCCAAGCATGAGTGCTAGGGAAGTAATAATGTATCCGCTACCACATCCAACTTCCATACAAAATGTGGGTCGGTGAACTAACAAGTTAGTCCGATCAGCCAGTAATGCATCTACTAATGCAAATGAATCATCACACGGTTCATATACTTCACGATGTGAACTGACAAGACTAATCTTGGCAATTCTGGAAAACATTTATTCAACTTCTGCACAAGTACATCAAAGATTACAAATTTACAAGGCATTGAGTGATAGGGACACAAATATATAGAAACAGATTGCAATCTATACAATTCATAGATACTGACTGCTCCAAACATCCCAATTAATTCATTCACATTTCACAGACATTCATTCCCTGATAGGCAACGCAAACTAGGTATATTGTATTAGTAATTTAACATTGCCAACTAAAAATTGCATCCAAATTCATCAAGTTTTTTTTTTTTTTTTTTTTTTCAAATTTAAGTAATTGAATCCGAAAGACTACCAAAAAAAAAAAGTCATTTCTGAAGTGGAAAACTTTGACAGAAACAACCAGCAAAACTTGAAAATGGAAGAAGAAGGAGAAGAAGAACGTACCTGTAGTATCTAACCCGACCCGGCACTATTTTGAATAAAAAGGAGCAATGGGCATGACAGAATTCACCAAGGCTGCCTGCGATGTAGCGCGGAACAATCGATATCGGAGAAACAGAGAATAGGGTCAAGAACTCGAGGGTGAGGGAAAGTCTAATTGCGATTTTGGGTTTTAGGGCAGAAGGGTTGTTTTAATTTTTCCGCGTATCATAGAAGGGTGGCAGACAAAACATTTGAAACCATGAAAATGGAGATGCGGGGTATCGATCCCCGTACCTCTCGCATGCTAAGCGAGCGCTCTACCATCTGAGCTACATCCCCCTTGTCTTTAAATTTTAAGTTTTAACTATTAACTTTGCTCAATTAGGTTTATAAAACCATGCAACAAGAGCTTTCAAACTTCTTCCAAGGATGGCCAATGCCAGTAATAACTCTACACTATTACTTGCCGATCAATTAGGTTTGGACTATGGCCCTGATGATTACAAGGCCGTTTTTTTTTTTTTTTTTTTTTTTTAATTGTTGTCAAGTTGTCATGATATATAAGTTCAACAACGATTCTTGATGAATCGATCATTGATTTTCGTCCTCCTAAGTTGGGTATCCATTGTCATTAGAATGATTTTTTAAGTGCAACATGCACACAAACAACCGTTGTTATTGAGTACAAGTCTTGTATAAGAGTGACAATCATTCACTTGCCTCTTAACGTGGCTTAGCTTGAGAGAATTTTGTCATGATTTGATTATCATCTATATATTCAATGTTTTAAGTTATAAACAATACAAGGTCACCACCCTCTCCCCTGATTATGATCCACTTGCATTATTAGCATGGGAGGACAACGAGATAGTGATGGTTGAGCTTTGCATCAAGAATAAAAACATTATTATTGGACAAAAGTACGTTTTCAACACTAGACATATGTAACTTTTTTTTGAAAGCTAATGGTTCTATTACATTGTAGTATCTGTTCATATACTTTCTCAACCTACTGAAACACAAAGAACCAATAACGCCTCCACTGAGGCTCGAACTCATAATCTTTCAAATGGAAGTCCAACCCGGATACCATTAGACCACATAGTCCTGGTCTAGACATATGTAACTAATTAAACATTAATGTAATTTTGATTTGGAACAACACACATGCTTTGAATTGTACGTTTAATTAAAATACACAACATGGAAAGGCTTCCTAACTTATGATAAGGTGGATCTTGGTCACGAACATACCCTCTCCAGGGTCTAGGATCTCCATATTCCTCCTCTTGATCCTCATAGTGTGTTTGTCTTCATGGTGGCCTCCTCGGTTGATCCTCCTCTCCTGTAGGAGGAAGACCCTGAAAGTCTTCATAGTCTCTTTGTTGTGATTGGTCCCGAGGCCAAGAGTTTTCCCTCCTTGGTGCTTCGGGCGGATTTTCTTCGTGGTGTTCAACCTTCGATGGTGAAGCAATCTCTTATTCTACTTCTTCTTGTTGCGAGTGTGCATACAACCTAGCCTTCAACCACAAAAACAAGAGAGTATTTGCAACTAGAAGTAGTTGCTAGTAAGATAAGAGTGTAGTGATAACCAAGTCAAGTACACCAAAATAAAATAAATAAATAAATAAATAAAACAAAAAAAAAAACAAAACAAAACAAAACAAACAAAAAAAAAACACAAAAGTAAAAGATGAACTAGACTCCCTAACTTGAACAATTGCTCATGTTAACCAAAAGAGTTAAACTATTCAACACAATGTTACTCACCGACAACATCGTCATTTGAAAGTTGAGTTTAGTGGTGATGGAGTGAAGTGTGAGAGAGGAACCTCACACGGGATATCTTCTCAAGTGGTCGATAGAAAGGGAGTGAATAGTAGGTGGTTAAGCACGAAAGTGTAGAGTGGTTTGAAGCTAGTTTGAATGGTGCAAATAAGAATCATTATTCCAAAAGGCTGAACCCCAACCCTAAGGGCCCCCCACACCCCGGCCCGACAGAGCATTTTGGGAGGATGTAAATCATGGTGACTCAACTGAACATGAACCATAGAGGCTAGACCAATTGAGAGCAAAATAAAATGCAAGTAACAAACTAATATAACAAAGTATCAAACAAATGGAAATGTAGTAGGGATGGCAATGGGTCGGGGATGGCTACATCCATCACCCGACTCACCTTATATTTTCTCCGTCCACCCCCACCTCCAACCCGCATCGGGTGGACTTTTTCAAAATCCACCCCATCCCCATCGGGTGCGAGTGCCCACTACGGGTACCCACCACTTATAATCTTATTATTTTTTAAAAAATAATAATATTTAAATTATTTACACATAATAAAATAATAAAATTTATAAAATTTATTAGTTATACTAAAACATAAAATAATAGAAATATTTAAATATAATAACTAAATTTTTAATTTTTAAAAATAAACTTAGTAGTTTAAATATAAAAATAGTAAAAATTTACATGAAGTTATAGAAACTCTTATAAATAACAACATGGTAGGTCGGGTGTGGTTCTAGGCGGGTTTTGTACATAGAACCCGAATCCAACCCGATCCACCGCGAGTTTATTTTTTTAAGATCCACACCCGACCCACCACCCATTACCACCCAAAAAATCCGATCCACGCGGGGTGGATTCAGGTGGATATCCACGGGGCGGATTGAAATTGTCATCCCTAAAATGTAGGGACTTGGACCTAGCCACTTTTGTATAGATGCTATAATGTATCTGATGATAGAGATCATGTAATGCCTCAACAAGGGAACTACAAAAACACTAATAATGGCCAATGTCACTCTCGTAGACATTGGACTCTCAATTAGCTTTAAGCTCTATTCTCATGGTGACTTAAACTAATTAAAGCAATTTATCAAACACATTGCGTTTACGTCTCGTTCTAGCTCCCTTTACCCAAAGCAAAGTTGGACTAGTGAGAGGTGTGAATATAATATTGTTCTATTCTCATAGTGACAGCACCTTATCCATATACCTTTTGCATATATAATTGAGCCCAAATTATGAAAGAGTCCATATAAATCACTAAGCTCACAGTTAGAACCAACATTGAGTCATTACACTATCTCATATTGCAATTCAATTCACATAGCGTCTATAACAAAATCGCTCAATCCAAATCTCTAGATGAATCTAGCTACTCATACTTGGAATTGAAACAAATTAAAAGCATGAATTGAATTGAAGCCAATGCAAGAACAATTGAATTAAAGAAATTGTTTCCTTTGATGTTCATAATTCTTTTGGTTTGCTGCAGGACCTAGGTGGGCTGATCGAAACTCCAATTGTTGTCGAAGATGTACCAAGACACAGGCGGGGTCCGAACACCAAACCGCAAAAGAATTACACTAAAGGGAAGAAAATGCCCAGCAAATATGCAGAATCAAACAAAGGTGGTGGAGGAATGCCTTCTACAGATGAATACAGTTTCAGAGATGAGGTCTTTGTGTTTGGGAATTTTTTGGATCCCAACCTTTCAGAGAGGGTCCCGGAGTCGGCTAAGGTAACACGTGAGGAAGGCGGTGATAATTCTTCCTTGGCCTGCCCTATGTCTCAATGATTTTTCTATCCTGGTCTTTTGGAACTTAGAGGCTCAAGTCGCCTTTTTCCGGAAGCCAAAGCTTTTATCCTCCCTGGAACTCATTCTGATCATCATCCCCTTAAATTTGTAAGTCAGGCCGGGAACCCTCTACGCCGTGAAGTGAGACCTTTTTGGTTTGAGGGTGCTTGGCTTTCGTGGGATGATTATAAAAAAAATTTGGCGAAAAGTGTGGAACAATAGTCACGTGGATTTTGTTAGCGCCATTGAGGAGGTGGCCTGGCTACCCAAAGCAAAATTTGGAATAAAGAAATTTTTGGTAACATTTTTTTTCCCGGAAAACCAATTTACAAGCCAGAATTAAAGGAATACAAGAATCTACCTTCTACAACTCCTCAAGAGGGCTTCAGGTGTAGGAAAAGAAGCTTAGCTTGTTGCTGAGTTGAACGAGGTTCTAAGGCAGGAAGAAATGTTAGTTGTGGTTTCAGAAATCTAGGGAAACGTGGATTAGTGATGGTGACAGGAACACCACCTTTTACCATAGATCTACTCTTATTAGAAGAAACCGTGCAAGAATTCGAGCTCTGAAATTGGATGGTGAGTGGTGTTCTGATTTTTAAAAAATCACTGACCACATCTCTAACTTCTTTAATTTATTAATCTTTTTGGCAGGAAGGTTACTACGGGCCGGGAGGGCAACAAGAAGACGCTTTTAGTGGGCCTACTTTGAATGATGCCCAAGTTCGGGCTCTATCGCGAGGGATTGAGATGGACAAAGTTAAGAGGACGATTTTTGAAATGAAAAATTTTGGTAGCCTAGGCCCGGATGGTATTCAAGCCGACTTCTACCGAACTTTTTGGGAAGAAGTCAAGCTTCCCATCACTGAGTTTGTCAAAGATTCAATCAGGCATGGTAAGGTCCCTACTAAAGTCCTAGAGGTGTTCATTACCCTCATTCCAAAAAAGGAAAGCCCAGAAACGGCTAATGACTTTAGGCCCATTACCCTCTTGAATCTCAGTTATAAAATCATCCCAAAGGTGATTATTAATCAGATGAGACCCATTATGAACACTCTAATTAGGCCCTATCAGAATAGTTTCCTCCCGGGGAGGTCTATGACTGAAAATATTATTTTAACTCAAGAGATCGTTCACCACATGCGTCTCAAAAAAGGTAAAAAAAAAAAAAAAAAAAAGGGCTTATGGCGGTCAAACTGGATCTTCACAAAGCCTATGATAGCATAGACTGGGGCTTCCTGGAATCCACACTGGTGGCATTTAGGTTCCCCCATAACTTTATTCAGCTGATCATGTTCTCGATTAGAAACAGTTCCATTTCTCTTCTTTGGAATGGTGAGAAGCTCCCCCCTTTTCAACCTGGAAGGGGGCTCAGACAAGGTGACCCCATTGCCCCCTACCTCTTCATTCTGGTTATGGGGAGACTATCATGGGCTATTCAGGTGGAGGTTAGAAATAAGAATTGGATGCCAATCATCATCTCTCGCTGGGGAACAAGCGTCTCGCACCTCTTTTTCGCTAAAAACCTCATGCTCTTCGCCGAGGCGTCAGAATCTCAGGGGAGTGTTATTATGGATTGTCTCCGTAGGTTCTCGACCCAATCTGGTCTTATTATTAATACCTCAAATT